TAGTTATTTTCTCCTATGTTGATTGATTTTAAGCATTTCATGTTATTGGGTGCGTACGTGCCTGTTTTAAAATAAATGTCTAACTGTATAACCTGAAGGAAGACATTGATGGAAAGGGAAATACAACTAGAATTCACCAACAAGAGCCAGCAGGCACATTTGTACCTTCAGTCGGAAGACTTCGTGTTTACGAGATATCAACTAACATCGTCAGGGTAGCTAGATATAACGACCTGCCGTGGTACTTCAAAAGCCCATGAGTAAATATAAAGAAATACAAGTAATCTTACGGAAACTTAGTTGAAAAACAAAGGACAATCGATGAAGAACAGGAGCAGAAATAGAAGGATTGGTAACCCGAGCGATGTACGTTTGTGCTTATTGGCTTCATCAGTCCTTTGTACCTGATGACGCAACATCGTTCATACATTTACATGATGGGTTGGGTTGAGAGAATTGGCGCACATGCGCCAAAACCGCTGAAAAACAGAAAGTGTAGAGTCGCCTAATGTGTGATGTCGAGTGGAGAATTTTGGAATTTACTGATTATTTGATACAAACTGAACTGGACTAAGAACAAAACTATGCGAGTCGACAGAGCTGCTCACCGGCTGCAGGCCCGTCGGCTTATACCTGTTTCTCTGCCCGTCTCTGTCTGTCGCACTCAGCGGGTCGCTGTTAGTTCAGCGACGTATAACGGCGCTAGCCGAAAATTCGAAAGTTAAACCAAAGCACACTGAAAATTGTCCTAAAGTATTTACCTAGCACTCTGGTATCCACAAGAGGACCAGCAGATTGAGTCGCGGTCTTAGTTCTGTTGTTGGATTCGTCAATATTTGTTTTGCATCTCTAGGTGCTTGAAAAAATTTGCAGATCATGACTGATATGTTTCTACGTATGTCTTTAAATCGAGATCCTCATTTCTTAAGATGCTCATATAAAGACGTAATGCCCTCAACACAAAAAATGCATTTCTCAGATGTCGAGTCACACCAAGAATATGGAGATCATACTACAAGAATTTATAATCGCCAGATGAAGTAACTCCTTTATTGGTTGCAAACCTATTTCAAAGAAATTCGTTTCTCAATTGAAGGAAAAAATGTCTCAGATCAAGGTCATATTTTCAAGAAAATGTGTGTTTAAGGGCCGGTCGTTCCTACAATTCTAGGTCGCGTTTATGACTCCTTGAGTTTTATAGCGCTGACACAGTAGTTCCGTGTCAGCGCTCTATTTTGAGGTTGTCACAAATATCTAATGTATGAAATTGTTCATGCTTTTGATTTATATAATGTTTTACCAGCCTGAAATTTTCTACAATTAAAAAAAAAGACATAAGAGCCCTGACACGGAACAGTAGAAATCTTTCTGAATTCGAGGTTCATCTTCAATCGTCTCTCTCCCTTCTGAAAATGCCTAAAACCACTGAAAAGCTTGTGCTTTTGACAAAACACTATCTCTGTACGCCTGTTTAGCAGGAGTTTTCGTTGCACTATGCTCAAGTCTGAAGCAAAACCTGATAGCACAACATTGCTGGAAATTTATATTACCTATTTTCAGAATACAATAAAAAAAACTGATTAAAAACATCGCTACGTACAACCAAATGACTCATGTGGGTTGAAACTTGTACTGGAGGCGGATCACATGATTCCCTGACTCCTCTTCAAACCCGGTGCCCCCAGTGTTGCCAAATCGATCTTTCTCAGTGTTGTCACTTAACATACAGACCTCGTATTAGTCATCAGAATTTAAGTAAAGTTAGTCTTATTTTTACTTAACATTTCTCACCTGGTATCAACAAATTGGACCACTCAGTAATCTCTGGTAGCCGTGGGATCCTAGACTATCATTTTGTTGTAATGAGTCAGACATTAGATACCCGAAAACCTCGACAATCTTGTATAAACTATTTGTGATTTATTTTCCAAGATATCTGAATGTATAATGAAGTATAAAGAAGTATAGGTACTGTAATGTGAATTACGAAGTGTGAAATAATGTGTAATGAATCATTTTTAACTGTGTATTTCATGGCATTGCTTTACATATCATAAATAAAGTTTTTTACTTCGAAATTGAGAATGCAACATAACGTATCAGGTGTAACCCAATGTTGCACTTACACCTAGTCTGCCTATTGTAAATGATGAGCACCTGTTTAAGTCATGATACTTTCTTTCCTCCAGCGAAACCATATATATGTTGGCCATCTCGGTGGGCAAAACGTTAGCAAAACAGACAATCCAAATAATGTGGTTTCACTTGGTGGCCCGAAAGACATTTAAATTTATTGATAATGTATTATCACCAACTTGGTTAATGATCGTTTTGGAACAGAAAATGATGTGTTTATAATAAGTGTCAATCCTCTCCATTCACCATCATGGACTAAGCGAAATATAGCTAAGTGTGTTATGTTCGTAGTTATCTCTAATAAGTTATTTCTTGTTCTTATCCTAAGGTACACAAATGGCGAAAATACCCAAAATTCATGTAAGATTTGAATTCAATAAAAAATTACACTTTCTCTTCTTTAGATTGTTATTTCTGAACCATAAGACATGGGATAGGGCTATGTATACGTAACATATGGCAAACGGCGGCACATTTATGGAAAAAAGTCATGGAAAACGACAAGAATAAGTATATACAGTAAAGCTGTGTAGGTAACGTGCTAGTCCATATATAGAAGAAATACGGTGCTTTTTTAAATTTTTCGCGAATTTACGTACATCCTTCACTTTTCATCCCCACTGTATCTGGCCACATATTGAATTTTAACCTCTTAACTGCTACTAGCGATTTACACTACCTGTCTGCCGGTGCACCCCAAAATTGCCGCTTGCGAATATATCCGTCATACGCATACTAAAAGTCAAAAGTAGTCAAATATTATCTATTTTAGAACTATCAATATGTTTTGATAGTAAAAACACTTATTTATTGAATCAAGACAAAGACATATTTTCAAGTATCTTATTTTACACACAAAAAATCGTTTTTCGCGGATATATACGTCATATGCTGAGCATACATTTTTGATTTGATTTTACTCAAAATACCACACAATAAGGCAATAAATCATTCAATTTATTTAACGAAAGGAACATAAACAATTATATTATTTTGGAAAAATAAAAAATATAAACAAACTCAAAAATATCTAAACTCAAATTTATAACGTAAATAACGCAAAAAATATAAGAGAAAAACGCCTTGAATATTTCACGGTTTTTCCGTATGGAACAAGCCAAAACAAGGTGCCGGACATAAACCGGTTCTGCATTCTAAGCACCAGTACCTAGACTCCTTTCTAATTTTTTTTCATAGCAAATGTGACACCTTTTTGTTGGCTTCTCCTTATTTGCTGTGGGGGGCATTATCGATGGAAAATGGCGCTCTACAAAGCGAGATACGTTATATGATCTGGCACGTCGAAGCTGTTGAGCAACAGGTACACTATATTTCTGAATCAACTTTTCCCCGAGCTCCATGACAAAGTTTAATCTTGTTTTTTGACCACCACTTTGTTTGTACAAAATATAGGAGTTTAAAATTGCAATATTCAATAAATGGAAAAACATTTTTTTATAATATTTTTTTAAATGAGTTAAATCGAGGGAATAGAAATGCAGAAAATTATCTGATAAATCCACCCCACCCATATCTTTATTATAAGATAAAACAACAGCTGGTTTTTGTATTTTTTTGTCACGCTTCTCTATTTCAACCATTCTATTGTCATGAAGAGTGCTAATCATAGTGATATCTTTTTTATCCTTCCATTTTATGATCATCACTTTTTTTTGAACATAGCCACAGACTCCCCTTTTTCTATTTTTTTTTGTTTTTATGTCTTGCGGAATTCCCTTCCGATTAATCCGCATAGTTCCGACGCAATCGGTTCTCCGTTTTGTTAGTTCTTCGACTAAATGTGGGCTAGTGTAAAAATTGTCCAAAAACAAACAGTGTCCCTTATTGAGTAGACTATCACATAGTGACAATACAATTCGTGCAGCGATAGGCTGCTCAATATACTTATGGCCATAATTTGTGTCAGCCCCTGTATAAACAAAAAAATTATAGACATACCCTGTAGAACTTTCGCATAGCATATAGAACTTTATCCCAAAACGTTTCCTTTTTGAGGGAATATACTGCTTCCAGGACAAGCGTCCTTTCCACCCCATCAACGATTCGTCAACAGATATGTTTTTTCCCGGGATATACACACTCCTAAACTTATTTTGTAAATGGTCAATGATAGGCTTTATTTTATACAATTTTCATACGTGAGGATCGTTGTCGAGAAAATTGTTGTCAGCAAAATGTATAAACTTATGAATAAGGCGAAATCTATATTCCCGCATGGTTTTCACGAAAAATGGCGTTTCAATACTCTCGCGAGCCGAAAAATACATATCAAAAGAAGGTTTTGAACAGAGCTCTGCAAAACGGTAAGACCGATAAAAGTTCGAATTTCATTGGGACTGGTGTTTTTCCACTTGCGGACTCGTGACTTCGGCTTCAATTTTTGTCCATGGTGAACGATAAACTGAGTAGCATATCTAAAATAAATAAGTTTTATCCTAATAAATATGAACATGTAAACTTATGCTAACTGTATACCTGTTCGTTTCTTCGGAGATTAGGTTTATTATACTGTCGTCGAAAAACAGCTCAAATATATCTACCGGGTCTTGTATATTTATTGGAACTTGTGCCCCTTCTCTATCTGTATATGAGAACAGTGGCCGTGGAATTCCATTCTCAACCCACGGGACATGTAAAGGTTCAATCGGTTCGCTATTTGCTTCCTCTTCGTCTTCAGACAAACTGAATTCGATATCAGAACCGTCCTCACATGAATTTTCATAATCACTATCCTCTAAATCACTCTGGGTACTACTGTCGGAGTCATCTGACTCTTCCGAGTAAAACAAATCAGTCGATTCTGCTTTCCTTTTTGCCATTGTAATCAACGAAATGCCCGCCGGCTATCCACTACACGCTTCATACGCGCTCTGATCTAAAAATGGACCGAAAATTGTGTAGCAATCGTGATGGCCGGCAGAGAAAAGGGTAGGGAATCGTAATATCTATCGCAGGCGAGTATATTCGTCAAATTCACTGAGAGGACCACCTAAAACTGTCGTGCGAGTATATCCGTCATAAGCACGAAACCTAACTTTTTAATATGCGGATATATTCGTCATAAGCAGTTAAGAGGTTAAGATCAACCGCCGATGATCAAATCTCATATGGTTCGAGGCGCCTTTCCGGTTATACGCCAGATACCTGTTGAGACGTACCAATGTGATTTATGACCAAGCTAGGCCGCATCCGTTATGCATCCTGCTTATTCTGACCGATCATTGAAATCACATTTAATTTTCATCCCACTAAGCTTAGAAACTGTTTAGTAGGTACCAAAAGCAAACTGCTTGTGACCAAGTGAAAAATATGAAGACAAGATCAAGTCTGTTTCCCTCTTTACCTAGACTAAATTCTGTACCTCAAAGCCAGACTAGGTTAAGCTCAAATAAGTAGTTTTGAGATAATCGAATTTGAAATGTTGTTCTTGTTTTGTGTTGTATGCGACTTGACATGAGTTAAAAAGTCTTAACTTCTTTATTATTACAGATAGGTGGACGCTGCTAGTAGCAAATGAAAATTCACAATGTTATCAAAAGCTTAAGCATATTGAACTCATTTTTGACAAAAATGGACTTTAACCTAGTCTGGCTCTGGGGTGAAGAATTGCATTTTCGATACCTGAAACAGAAATTTAAAATCCGTTCATTGGAAGAGGACTCATAAGGCCCAGATAAGATCCAGTTTGGAGTATTACTCATATATCGGGGGTGCTCTGACTACACTGCCGATGGTTGACCCTGTTCAGAGAAGGGCTGTCCGACTGATGGATGGCATTTCCCCAACTGACGGTATCATACCTCACTCAGACCGACACACGGTGGTCCAGAAAAATACAGTTTTTACAGCACTAAAGCTATATTCAGCACATCTAGGTTTTTTGGGCCGCTGATCTCAAAACCGGGGTTTGTCTCTATGTGGCATTTGAAAGGCACTGCAAGGTCCCTTCAAGATCGCCTTCAAAAAAGCCGAGCAATCAGAGTTTAGTTAGTCACTCTGGGGGATGAGGGCATTTAAATGTCATTTCAAGGAAAAATTCAAAATATGACCAGCAATCCAGCTCAGACGAGGTCGTTGCGTCCACAGCTGTCAGTTTATTTCTTTGAAGGCATTTGAAGATGTTTTTAAAATAAATTTAAAAAACTATATGCAATGTATATTAAATACGTTTTTGAATAATTGTTACATAAAAGGGTGAAGAACAAATGCAATCTGTTCAATCCACGGTATACATGAAATCATCAATAATAATAGATTTCTATTACAAAAGGTAAATGTTTGTGTCCTATTTATTATCATACATATCTAAGTCTAAAATTTTTAAACACAATACAACGAATGATGCAGAATCTTTCGAATTTTGCTCTAAAATAGTAGTGTCGAATGATTCACCGGAAACATCAAGTTTCATAGTCTGTCATAGTAATTGCTTTGTTTTTTGAATTGCAGTCTGGTTTTTGCATAAATGGGCCACGGGTGGTCGGGGATTTTTCTCTCTTCTACCGCTGTGCTAACGGACATTACTACTCTTAGTTTCCCTCCACAATGCCACCACCCGTTAGACCTGCCAGACAAACCTGCCAGGCTTAAGCTGCACTTTCTAACTTTTTCGAACTGCGTACATCTAGAACAGGAACAGTGTGCCCGATGATGTTTCCCCCAGTTCTATTAAACCTGAGGCATTTCAATCGGACCAATCAAACATCTCTCACATCTTCAAGTCATCGTTGGTTGTCAGAGCGGTCCGTGGGACCTTAGCTCTTGAGTCACAGTGTCAGATTGTAAGTCTGTCAGGTCTGGTAACCCAGAAACTAGACAATTTTAAGGAAAAAAGGGGAAGGAAAGGAGAGAAGGAAGAACGAGAGCAAAGGGGAAGAAGAGAATCTTTTAGGATAGGCAGCGTTTAGGCATTGTTAAAATCACTTGACAGATTTTGATATGGTCTAAAAATATTTGATTTTTTCTAAAGATTGTGTCAAAATGCTCCAATTTTGGTTGTTCTAAGTTCACGAGTTATTTTTGATTATAGTGCGAGCCGCGACCTTTTGTGCTTGCGAACTTGCTCGACTGTGTAGTCCACTGACCCACGGAACAGAGGGTTGCTGTGCGATTCCGCTAGGCTATAGCGCCGCTGCGCCTGTTGCTTAATGTAGTCCTTTAGGTAAGGGACATCGAGGTCTCTATGTAGAGTTTCGTTAGAGACATACCATGGGGCATCAGCAATAGTGCGCAACGCCCTGCTTTGCAGAACCTGCAGACTTCGCATGTGTGTTTTAGCAATAAAACACCAAGCCGCATGCGTAAGTCATTGCTGGTCTTATGACCACCTTATAGAGTCGAATCTTGTTAATCAAACTTAATTTTGAACGTTTACATAATAATGAGTAAATCTGTCGAAACGTAATTTGGAATTTAGTTTTTAGCGCTTCCATATGGTTCCGCCAAGTCATCCCTTTGTCCAGAATGACATCGAGATACTTAGCGGAGGATTCCCATGGTATACGAAGTCCATTCATTGAAACTTCAGACGGAACGCCGCGACGTCTTTGTGTACAGTAGATTGCCTGCGTTTTCGAATGGTTTATTTTTATTAGCCACCGATCCGCCCAATCTAATACTTCCTCCGCCGCACTTTGCAGCCTGTCATGGACTAGGTCACCAGACCACGACTGAGCCACCAATGCAGTATCGTCAGCATAGAGATAGACTTCACAGTTGCTGGGACTAGGGACGTCATGGATGTACAGTGAGTAAAGGATAGGTCCAAGGACCGAACCCTGAGGGACGCCGGCTGTAATCAGCCGTGTTGTCGACAGGACATTGTCAATTTTGATCCGAAATTTCCTTCCTTCAAGGAAGGATTTCAGTAGTTTTAGAAGCCAAAAAGGGAAGCCCTTTTGGATTAGTTTATACAAGAGGCCCGCGTGCCACACCTTGTCAAATGCTTTTGAGACATCCAAAAGCAAGATGCCAGTACTTTCGTTAAGGGTGAATCCTCTGGTTACACGTTCCACCAGCCTAACCGCCTGTAGCTCCGTACTATGTTCAGACCGAAAACCGAATTGCACGTCAGGAATCACATGGTGATCTGACGAGAAATTCTCAAGGTGACGTAGAATCACCTTTTCAGCGAGCTTAGACGGAGCTGACAGCAGGCTAATGGGACGATAATCCTGGGGAAATATCGAACCCACCTTCTTTGGAATCATTATAACTTCAGCGGTCTTCCACGCGGATGGGAAGTACTGGATCCTTAGCATGGCATTGACTATTGCCACGAGATAAGTTAAGGACTTCCGCGAAAGCAGCTTCAGCGCCTTATTAGTGATTTGATCCTTCCCAGGCTCTCACATCTTTTTACCAGCCGTAGAACTTCGGCTTGGGTGCTTAGGTTTTTGAAAAATAAATCCTTCGTATTTTCTGCCGAAGAAGTCAGCCGATAGATGTGATCTTTATTCCGGATACCCATGTAACTTTACCATTTATTACAACATCGAGAATGTAGGCTGTTCCTCACATTTGCGGAAACAAAATCTCCGTGGATCATATTCTAAGCACAACACATGGAAAATCTTACTACGCTACTGTAGAACTTGTCATTACTTTTAGTCAGATGATCTACGTCTGATCTTTGGATGGCAAGATTTGTCAATTCTCGTTCGTAGAAAGAAAAAGGTGATAGATAACACAATGTATGTAACATCTGAAACTTATCCTGTGGCTATAATGTTGATGGATTGCATACCGGTGTGTTGCGACAACAATTCTGGGTGAATTTCCACGTTCTTGTCGTTTAGCGTTTCTGGGGCGATGAGCGTGAGTGACGGTCTGGTACATCCAAAACAACAGATAACCTCTTGTTCGCTTGTCGCTTTGATGAAACTGGACGTCTTTTGGGAGCGGGAATGACAAACATACTGTATGACAGCTAAAAAAAAAACAAATGAATTGTTATCTGGAAGACATATAAATATTAAATAGAATATCATCATTAATGATTTATACTTTGAAAAAGTCACCGTAACTGCCGAAATGTCTTTAATTGATAATTTAGACATAGGTATCTTTTTCCATTTGGCCAGAAAAACATCGAGTTTACTCAGAAATTCAGAATATACCTTTGAAGACAAGCATCAAATTAACAATTTTGGAAAATACACCATTAATAAAATGACAAGCAATGACAACAAATAAATAGCTTATCGTTATCGTAAGAGGAATACAGTAATGAGACTCATTCAGCGAACGACAGCACTGTATAGCTTAAGCGCTACATCGTCGCCACTCCCAAAATGTCAAACTTCATTGTCTAATCAAATTCATTTCAATGTTTGTATCCTCAGCATGGTTGTGATGAAAGGTGTGGCCCAAAAACAGAACAGTGTGTCAATTTGTTACTGACACGACATGTTAAACACATTTCTTAAATGTAGGTATGCATGGTTATTCACCAGTGAACTTTTGATTGACTGTGCGGTGTACCGCAACTGACAGGAAAAACCTTGTCAAAGTAAACAAACAGTAAATGTGTAACCACCTGAGGCGCATGTGGCAAGCATTCCAAAAACAAACTGAAGCATTTCCTTCTGGGGGTCGTCGTCTCCCCCTGTACAGGGTGTCCCGCTATAGATATAAATTGGCCTTTACTCTAACTTGTTTGTAAGCCCTTTTAGAAAAAAAGCTGCATAAATAAGTTACAAGATTTGATGTGGAGTTTTCCATATAACTTTTGTATTGTATATAGGGTGTCACGGAATATATTTCTTTTCTCTATGTAAAAAGTACTAAAAGTGTAGCTGTTATTTGTAAAAGGTACAGCAAAGTTAAGTTTTTACGTAAAGTAGTGAAATTAAGTATAATAAAGCATATCTACAA